TAAGCCTATAATATGAGTATGGCATATAATGAAGCAGGGAACCTGAGCTTGACCACAGTGGACACTGTTTCATGAAACTATTTCCAGTTACTGTAGCTATGTCATCTATCTTTCATTATGCCTTTCTCACTACCAGAAAACTAGTAATTCATCCACTGAATAAAATTTACTGCATACTAGCTAATTACATGTAAGACATGAAACTAGGAGTTGTCACTGAATTCTATAAACATAAACAAAGATTCTAACAAAGTATAATTTCCTAGAAAATTATATTTACTGGTTCCAACAAGGCTTGGGAATATTTTATCATGACTGATTTGAAATAATCTATAATATGATCATTTTCTTAGAGAAATCATTATTAGAAAATATTTCAAATGAAGCTAAGATTAGTACAATGAAGCCCCATGTGCCCATAACCTAGTTTCAAAAACTATCAACTAATGTCTTAGATAAATCTTCTAAAAATCCATGATTCTGTGTGCCACACTAAATGGCATGTCTATTGTGCAGCTGGTTAATACAACATTCTTCCTTATTAGAGGTATAAACATGCTTTTATCTGTCAATAAGAATATGAACATACATAATGTGCACTTGAATTATATTCTAAATATTTAGAATATAGATTCCGTTTCTAACATATATTGTTTGCTATATATCAAGAAACAAAATGTACAGCAAACTATTGAGTTGAGAAGAAAATTTCTGTGAACATTGTTTTATGTATACAAGACCCTCAAAATAATAGTTTTAAAACATAACACAAATATTCATCATAAGATATACCACTCTTCTTAATCAGTTGAAATCTAAAAAGGAAGCTGTGTTCCATATAATTTAAGCAAATCATCTTATTTGCTTCTGATTAAAGTTTAAGATCTTTAAAGGTGAGATATAATATGTATTTAATAAAAAGACAGAGAAAATAATTCTTAGAATATTGTGCAGTTGCTAGATGTCACTCTGGTTCTTTTGACAGATTATTCCAATGTAAAAAATTTTTGAACTGTACAAATATGACTCTAGTTTTGCAGAATATCCTCCATTGTATACAATTAGCCCCCAAGTTAAGTACCTACTTAAAAAAGGGTCTTGATTGATGGTCTACATGAAAATCTGTTGCTTCTTTCCTATAAAATAATCAAAATAACAACAGTCAATAAGAACTATATAAAAGTAATTCTTTCAGTTTACAAATATAAAGATGGAATCCTCTAAGTTCATATTTATTTGATCTGCATCTGAATTAACTAATGTTTCTTAAACAAGTATTCTGCTCAGTTCCATGTGTTTTAAATTTTTTTGCAAGTATAGGTCATAAATTTATGAATATGAATGAGTATGAGGCAATATTTACCTTCTTACTCATGTTCTAGATTACCTATTTCCTCTCTCACGAGCATCTTTAACTCTTTAGGTAGAAGAGTCTAACATATGACCATTAAGAAATATTTGTTCTCTAAAGACCAAATAAGTTACATCAAAAGAGACAGTCATAGTCAAACTGAAAATCTGCTGCCGTTTCCCATATGCAGATTGGACATTGTCTTCCAAAGAGATTAGACTAGATTTTTTTATTTAATACTCATAAACTTTTTATTAGATAAAACTTCCAAAAAAAAGATTATATATATTGGGGCCAATGTAAAAAGAAATTAGAAGAGTTAGCATCAGGGCAGTAAAATGGCAAATTTTAAATTTTCAACACAACAAACTGAACTACCAAAAGAAAAACAATCATAATATTTAATATCAATGAAAAGAAAATCTTAACAAATAACTAAAAAGAGTTTCAATGTTTTCTTTCAACATAACACTAACACTATAGTTATGACCATTCAAATATAAAGCTGAATCCAGGATGAGAGGTCATTAATTTTTTTTCCCCCCATTATTCTTATCTAATTTGTAGTGCCTAAGACATTTGACTGCTAACCAGAAGGCTGGCAGTTCAAACCCACCAGCCACTCCTCAGAAGAAAGATTGGGCAATCTACTTCCATAGACATACCCCCTAGGAAACCCAAGGAGCGATCACTGTGAGTTGGATCCAACTGGACGGCAGTGAATTTGGTTTTTTGGTTTTGGTTGAATTCCTCCCTTAAAATTTTAGGAGATACATATTAACAAATGCATTCCACTAAGAGATGATTTTTGTTGCTGCTATGTTTTGTTTTTATGAAGAAACAGTCTTTCACAAGAATTTATCCATTGATTCTTCAAATAATATTTACTTAGTGTCTACCTTAAACCAGGCATTGATTCAAGAACTAGAAATACCAAGTCAGGCAGAACTCAGCTGCTGCCTTTCAAATACTGTCATAATGGAGGGAAATGACATTTGAAAAATTTTAAGGAAAGATTTTAGCATTGGGAGAAATTCCTGCTTGAGTCTCTCATAGTCCTTGCTGAGTATGCCAAGAATGCAAGACCCTGACCTTTTTTTTTATCTTAACCATTTATCAGGACTGTGTTTACAGCAAGCAACCTTGAGGGATGAGGTAATGTCTCTCTTCAAGACAAAGAGTAGGTTTGTTTACTGCTTGCTATGAAACAGTGGGTAACCCAAGTTCAATGTTCTTCAGCTGTGCAACCCAGTGAATACACAGCATCCATCTGGACCCACATCACACTATCCCTATGGGACTTAGAGGCAAGGGAAACTGACATAAACATGATGTTCATGCTGCTTACAGTCCTTTGTCTCTGACTCAGGAATTTGAGTCTTTCATCAGCATTCAAGAAAGAGTAACAGACTAACTTATAGCTTGTAAGTTGTAGGAAAACAAATCCCAAACTTGACAGTAATATTAATAGAGATGTATGAGGTGCTATCAGAAGGAAGGTTGGGCAATCTACTTCTGTAGTGATACTGCCTCAGAAACCCAAGGAGGGGTCGCTATGAGTCGGGGCCAACTAGATGGCAAATAACAACAACAACAACATGAGGTGCTATGGACAATTAAAGAAGTAGTTAAATTTCTTGGGAATTAAGTCCTATATAGAGACATTGGCATTGTGTCTGAATAATGAGTAAGAAATGGACTATACAATGCAGAATGTTTAAGACAGAGACAAAATTATGTACAAAAGGGCTGAGATAAATCATGTCATATTTAAGGAACTGAAAGCTGGGTAGCTTCTATAAGGAGTGGCAAGAGATGAACCTGTTTAACGGAGGCCAAGCCAGATAACGAAGCATCTTATATCCTCCACTAATGAGTTTTTCTTGTAGATGATGGGGAATCGTTGAATGATTTTAGGAAAAGAGTGTTGACATGCTTAGATTTTCATTATTAAAAAAACAAATCCACTACCATCAAGTCGATTCCGATTCACAGCAACCCCCATTGTGTTTCCAAGGCAGTAAATCTTTATGGAAGTAGATTACCCCAACTTCCTTCCACAGAGCAGCTAGTGGGTTTGAACCACCAACCTTCTAGTTAGCAGCCAAATGCTTTAGGCACTGAGCCACCAGAGCTCTTTGGATTTTCATTACAGAGGCTCATTACAGTGGCAATATAGAGAATGGAATGGAGGAATCTTGGAGTAGGGAATGGCCCATCAAAGAACAGAAAATTGCAAATCTAGAAATAGAATGTTTGAAGTGCCTAGACAAAGACCTGTAAAATGCCTAAACTCAAGAACCTGAAATGGAATAAGGAAGGAATGGTTCCCAGAGATACATTGCCCAACCTTCTGGGGAATGGCTGGTTGGTCCAGAGATATATGTTGTTGTTATGTGCCGTTGAGTCAGTCCCAACTCATAGCGACCCCTCCTTGGGTTTCCAAGGCAGTATCACTACAGAAGTAGATTGCCCCATCTTCCTTCTAAGGAGTGACTGGTGGGTTTGAACCACCAGTCTTCTGGTTAGCAGTCAAGTGCCTTAGGCACTATGCTACCAGGGCTCCTCCAGAGATATATAGGAAGCAAAAAAGTAAAAAGACTTAAGGTCAGGTAAATGTGGAGAATGGGGGAGTAGCAGGATGAATCTAGGATCACTTTCAGATTTGTAGGTATAGACAGAAGTCAGGGCTAGAGATATGTTTGGAATTCACCTAGAAATAAGTCATAGGTAATGATACATACATGGATGGGACTGCCCAGGGAAACTGTAAGAGAAAGAACATGCACAGAACCTGGAAGAGTATTTAAGAAAAGATACAGCCATGTTAGTGGGTTACTGAAGTGATGGTGACAGTCACTTAGATGAGGAGGCAAATGGAGAAAGAAACCCAAATCTTTAATAAATGTGGAGATGTGCTCTGAAGATTGAAAATGAGGCTCAGAGGATGGTAACATAGATAAATGGCATGGCCATCCAAAGATGACTAATTTTGAGAAAGAGATTAGGAATTTTCAGAAAGGAGCTAAAATACTGATGCTATACTGTGACCCTGTGACACAGGAATATTCAAGAGTGATCAACTTCTACCTAAGGGCTAGAAAGGAAAGAGGGCCTGGGGGAAGGCAGATTTCAACTAAAGGGAAGAGGTAGGGCAGAACACTTCTATGTTCTGTGTGCAGAAGCTGTGGCCAGAGGGATGTTTGTCAAAAACGAAACTTGACTTGCAAAGAGGACAGTAAAAAGGGTTTGTAAGAAATTAGTGGTCAGGGGAGCAAGGGGAAAGAAACATTGCAGGAAAGGATTGAATATGGGTGTGGAGAAGTAATTAGAAGGATTTACAATTGGACCCGCCAAAGAATGAAAAGTTTCAGTTTTAATATTTTCATTAATTTAGTTAGTTAGTTATATTGAAGAGTTTTAAAAGGCATGGATGGAATTAACAGGACACAAGGTTCCAAAAAGATTTTTGTTTTTTCTGAAGACTCAATGCCTCAGCAAATTTATACCCAATGGTGTTCTTAAAGTGTGAGTGAGTGGTTCCAGCATCTTTCTTCATGTACTGGGAACTATTATGATAAAGAAGTAGAATTTTTATCATGGGAAGTTTGATGTCAAGTTACCAAGCACTGTAGGTGTAGAAACATGAAAATTTTAATCTTACTGAAAATATTCAAAGTTGTCTCTCCAGAATTCAGTCCCATTGTCAAATTTAAAGCAAGAACTCTCAATATATACAGAAATAGGACAAATGTGACTGCTCACAAAGGTTTAGTACCTCAGTTCCCATTAAACAATAATGATAACGTTGCTGTTGTTGTTGTTGTTTGCCATCGAGTCGGCCCCGACTCCTAGCGACTCCTCCTTGGGTTTCCGAGGCAGTTATCACTACGTAAGTAGGATTGCCCAACCTTCCTTCCAAGGAGTGGCTGGTGGGTTTGAACCGCCAGCCTCCTGGTTAGCAGTCAAGTGCCTTAGGCACTATGCTACCAGAGCTCCCAATCATAACGTTAGCACTACAATTACTAACATTCATAGCTAACATTTATATACATGTATTTATAATATGCCACGGTTTTTCAAAGAACTTTACATATATTAAACTCATGTAACCCTTATAACAAGGTCCTTGAGTGACATAGTTTGATCTCAGCTATTAACCTAAAAGTTAGAAGTTTGACTCCACGTAGCGTGGAAGAAAGGCCTGGTGATCTGCTTCCATAAAAATTACAGCCAAGAAAATTACAAACTTATAGTTCAACTCCAACACAAGGGATTGACAGGAGTCAAAATCAACTTAGTGCAACAGGTTTGGTTTTTAACCCTCATAAAAACTTTATGACTTAGGTACTAATATAACCCTTATTTTGCAGATGAAGAAACTGAAGCAGAGAGGTAATTGCTTAGCTGCACCTATAGCAAGCCTCACAGTTACAATTAATGTGGTTCTAGATTCTGTGAACTGTAATATAAGCCTACTCCCTCTCTAAAACTTACGTAAAGTAGGAGAACTGACATAGCAGAAAATTCAAATTAAATATATGTCATTTGGGGGGTAAAACTGAGGGCATTTTGATAAGGTTTCTAGGGATCAGAGTTATAGACCCTGCATGCTATCCATTGTACCTGTTCTCACAAAGAAAAAAATATCAACTCTGCCATGGAAAATATATGCAGGAACAAATCATTTCTGAGGCAGTGAGAAGACAGCTGATAAAAAAGGAAAAAAAACTCGTGAGTAAGGTAAGATCAAAGACTATAAATCCTTCAATGTGGATTGCACCT